AAGTAAGTATTATACGAGTGAAAATCTCTCTACCAAATTTTATGTGGATCGGTTCATAATTGGCCCTACCCCTCCATAAAATGACTTTAACGCTCATTACTGGCTTAAAAATACGAGTATAGTGATGAAATTTTACAGAAGTCAGTTTTATAAAAGCCAAAATCTCTCTACCAAATTTTATGTGGATCGGTCCATAATTGGCCCTACCCGCCCATAAAAGGTCCCCTTCAGAAAATTACTTTATCGCTTATTATTGGCGTAAAAATATAGCGAATATAGCGAAGAAATTTGACATAAGTAAATATCTTAGAAGCCAAAACCTTTCCAGCAAATTTTATGTGGATCGGTCCATAATTGACCCTACTCCCTATATAAGGTCCCCTCCATAAAATTACTTTAACGCTCATTACTGGCTTAAAAATAAGAGTATAGCGATGAAATTTCATAGAAGTAAGGTTTATACGAGCCAAAATCTCTCCACCAAATTTTATGTTGATCGTCCATAATTAACCTACCCGCCCATATAAGGTCCCCTTCTGAAAATGACTTTAACGCTCATTATTGGCGTAAGAATATGAGTATAGCGAAGAAATTTCACATAAATAAGTATCTTATGAGCCAAAACCTTTCCACCAAATTGTAGGTGGATCGGGCCTTAAATGACCCTATCCCCCATATAAGGTCCGAAACAGAAAATTACTTTAACGCTCATTACTGGCCTAAAAAACGAGTAAGGCAATGAAATTCGATATAGTTTTGTATGAGCTAACATCTCTCTACTAAATTTTATGGGGATCGGTCCATAATTGACCCTACCCCTCATTTAAGGTCCCCATCAGGAAATCACTTAAACGCTCAATACTGGCTTAAAAATGCGAATACAGCGATGAAATTCGACACTGATAAGTTCTATAGGAACCGAAATCTCTCTACCAAATGACTTCAACGAGAAAAATACGAATACCGCAATGCAATTCGACATAAACTAATTTTATGCTAAAATACCATATTTTATGAGAATTGGTCCATAATGAAGCCTAATCCCGTATAAGGTCCCTTTAAGAAAATTACTTTAATGCTCATTACTGGCTTAAAAATACAAGTAGATCTATGAAATTTGAAATAAATAAGAAACTGAAATCTTCCTACCGACTTTTTTGAGAATTGGTCCATATATGTATATATAACCCTACTACCTATATAAATTAACATATTTAATTCGAAGCTTTTTTTCGAGATATATGCACTGATTTTTATAAAATTTCTTAGAAGGTTTTGGATTCATGTATTAATAAATCCTCTGCTGAAGTGATATTAAGAAGGGGACCCTATATGGGTACCATATGGTCATAGGGCAAAGTTTGGTCTCTCCAATCTTTATAAGTGAAACATTCGTGAATCTGATAGGGATCGGTTCATATATTTATTGATTTAATTAAGGTTTTATATTATATTTATAATCGTGCAAAAATGAATAATGGATTCGAATAAACTTTTTCATAAAACATACATGCGAATCCGATTTCAAACTATCACAACGAATCTAATCTATATACATATTTAGATACACATGTATGGAACTTAAATATATATGCCACCCGTGGTTGACACAGTCTACTGCATGTAAATATTTTAGGGATAATGAAAATTTAACCAAAAATTTATGATCATTAGACACATATTTATATTATGTGTTCGATCCTTAATACATTATACAGTTTTTTTTTTTTGGCAAATTTATGACAAATATTATGTTTTTTTTTTTTTTAAACTACAAACACACTCCTTCATAATTAAGTAAAAAATCGAAAACCAGTTTTATGCATTTCTTTTTTTTTTTTTGGTTTTGCATTTAAAAAGTGCATATTTTTTCCTATTTAGTCTTTCGTACATGATGACGTTGGTGTTTATTTTCTAAAATTATAAAAATATTTACATACATACATATACTTTTATATTAAATCGTGCAAATGTGTTAGTTGTTTAAAAAAAACATTTTCGCTTTTATTTGCAAAACGTGTGCATACAAGTAAATAAATTCACACACTTTTATATACAAAAACATCCACAAACTTTTAATACAAATATAAAATGCAATAATACTTTATGGCATGACAACCCTTTTCCTGTGATGATTTTGTTGTTTGTTTATTTTTCGAAAAAATGCATCACTACACAATATAACAATAATATAAATATTAGGGCGTTTTGCTTTAGTTTGTTTACGAATTTCGAAGATTATCGATCGATTATTTTAATATTTCGTACTTCTATATAAAAAATTTACTTATTCGACATTTATACATGCTTTATTTACGGATTAATAGGTTACTAAAGTGTGACGGGCGAAGTAATTATGAATCGGGTAGGTAATAAGAAAGGTAATTTTTAGCGATTCTGACAGTCGGTGCCAGAAAGGATTTGCTTTTTCGGTACAAAGTCGAACTATGTATGTATACATATAGATAAATGGATTCCCTTCGATGTTAGATTACAAAACTCGACGGAAAAAATTTGGGTTCCTGCGGAAACCCAAAATAAACCGTTTGGCTCAAATACAAAGGGTTTCCCAAACATAAACTTAAAAATAGGTGGCGTGTTATAATGTCCATGGACGTTATGACATACTAAATTGAGTCATAATGTCCATGGATGTTATGACAATTTCGAAAGGGTCACAACGTCCATAAGCAATGTGACATAAAGTCTATGGATTTCAAAGAGTCCATTTATCAAAAAAGGTTTAATTAAGCGAAACCGGTATTCGAACTGGTAGTATGTCATAATGACCAGTGACATAATGTCCATGGACGTTATGACACACTAAATTGAGTCATAGTGTCCATGGACGTTATGACAATTTCAAAAGTGTCACAATGTCTATGAGCAAAATGACAAAAAGTCCATGGATTTTGAAGAGTCTATTTATTAAAAAAGTTTTCGAAATACCCCAGAATTTAAACTATTGTGCCCGGCCGAAGGCCTGCTATCCAGGACACTTTTTAAAAGGAATCCAAAATGCTACATACACCAAATTTGGGAGCAATTTTTTTCGCGATAAGAGTGTCCCTTTCTTAAATACTAAACAAATGTTCCAATATATTTCTGTCACAATGTCCATGGACATTATGTCGCTTTATGGTGTGGCATAAGGTCTATGTACATTATGACACGCCACCTAAAAATATGTCAGATGTTGAAGATTCTTGCAATGATGAAGGAAAACTTTGGTAAAGTTGTAAGCAAAGCTGTTACTCCTTGACAGAACTTTTAGCTATCTATGGTACGTAAAGAAATACGTAGTACCGCTTTGATCTATGTGTTTCTTGCCCTTATTTTAATAGGAAATGCACTAGCAAACTTATAACCCGAAATAGGCTGGATATATGTATAAAGAATGCTGGTCGATTTGGGTACACCTCCAATGATTTTGTCGCAGTTGCAACGATAAGGATAAAGATGAAACGGTCCTTTATCTGGGCTAAAGTTACGTTGATGAAAGACCCTCATCTTGGTGTTATTGCAATTCCGGGGAAAAGAGGTGCTACTAGTTCCTCTAACTTGCCGGGACTATGAACTGGTGATGATCAAATATATCCTGAGCATTTCCTTGTGATGATTTGACATGGAGTCGATTTAAACCCAAATTTGCGCGAAGAGAATGTCAGTTAAAACACTGATATGATAAAGTCTATAATTCTGAATAAGTTCGATGCTGTTGCTGAGACAACTGATATTCCGCAGAGGAGTGACTGTGGAACTAAGCGTTGGTGAGTTGGTAAATAAGTTGGTTTTAAGTATATTGAATACAGGATTAATACGACAATAACCCATCCGTATACCTAAAGTGATCGAGACGGATGTTGTTCTCAATGAGTGTATCGAATGAATGGGAAGTGTGCTGGGTTAAATGGTGATATATGAAAGATAACTTATACAAGTGATACCATTAAATTTTCCTTCCTTGTCCATGTATGTTCAGTGTTTACTCTGTTCATACTAGATTTGCGCAGTGTGTTCTCTCAGAGTAAGAACAAGTCCTCGACTTATTTGATGGATTCGTGTTTCTGCCTACCAAATACGTCTCTAGGTGAAGGAGGGGATGTTTTGCATCTCGGAAGTTAAGCAACGTGGTAGCAATGCTCAGAGATTGGATAGCTGGAGTACTTAAGCAAAGTGGTGGTACATGGACCGGCAGAATCATGTACATAAATTGCGACCGGCGTGTAAGAAGCACAAAGGTTCGGTCGTGAGTCGTCGGTACCTGCAGTTGGTACCACCGTTAAATAAGGTCAACACGCAGGGTTTCACGCAAAGCACTTCAACATCTTGACTTAGCCGACAAGAGGAATTAACATAGTTCGACTATTGGCAATTCCCAAAATCAAAAATATATACAAAAACGAACCACCCTAATACACATACTACTTAAAATTTAAATATGTATGTATATACATTTGTGCATTCTCTTATACTTGCTGCACACAAACTAAATCTACAGCTTGCCCATTGATTTTTATGCTGCATGCATCAAACATGATGCATGTATGTATTATATATAAAGCTTTTAGTGCAACAACAATAACATTTGGAAGAAATGCATTATGCAGACTCTGTTGTTATTATGTTATTGCTGGTTGCTGTTGTTGTTTTTCGCATTTTTTATGTATAGAGAATAATTATGTTTGAAGTATGATGATGATAATCATCAATGTCATCATTAGCAAACATCATCATCAATGTGCAACACATATGCTGGCGACATGTTGAGTTGAATAAAGCTCATACGCGTGTTTAATTTATCTTTTTGTTTATTTCCAATATTTTTCTTCTTCTTCTTCTTGGACATACCCTACAGCATGTGGTATGAGGTTGTATTAAGTTGGTTCATAAGCCATCAAGAAATGTTTAAAACTGAGGCTATTCTCATTCTAAGTCTTTGTCTATGAACTTCTAAAAAATGCGTTTTTTTACTAAAAAGTTGATTTTTTTTTATTTTAATATGAAAGAAACACAGAGATATTCATTTCCCTGCAATTATAAATTGCATTTATTTTATCCTTATATTAATGTCTGAAACCAATAGATACAACCAGTTAGTCCCTTAAATCTAAGCTGCAGCTGCTGCCACAGCACCGGCAATAGAACCAGCTTCAATTACATTCTTAGCTTTTTCAATACTGCTGGCAACTTTTTTAACACCGCTGGTAACTTTATTAACATCGTGGGTGACTTTTTCTACCTTTTTAACTCCCTTGTGCTGAAACACAATATAAACATTTTAAATTATTATAGATCCATATACCCAAGATATTTTTTTAACAATAACTCATACCAATTCATGACCGATTTCACCGAAACGATGATGATGATGGGCTTCAGCAGCTTGTTGACCCAAAATGCACAAGACCAAAATGGCCAAGAAAGCAAAATATTTGTTAAAGTTCATGATGTTAAAGAATTGGAAACTTAACTGATATTTTTATGGAAGCGTTATGATGTTTATGTAGAATTTTGTATTTAACAAAACGTTCTTATTTCAATTCATAATCGATCAAAAATTTTAATTTAAGCGAAAGGCTTAAAAAATAATTTCCAATTTATCATAATATTATATATATTCTTATCATATAGAGAAATCTTCAGACATTAAAACAGTAACAAAATATGTAATTGATTAAAATTTGTTTAAGAAATATTTTCAAATTGCAAAAATATTGAATATTACTAATCTCAATAAAACCTTATTCGAAACTGATCGAATTAAAGCATTAAATGAATAATACCAAGTTTTCACGGTAAAGTAAATTACTTAACTCGATTTCTGAATTACTATAAGAGAAATTCTAAACCATTCCGAAAATGACGGGCAATTAAGATCGTAATTGGCATAAACCAATGTCAATTACTAACCGATTTGATTTTTGCTTCAGGGTCCGCTTGAGGAATTTATTTAATTTTACGGACCCCTAAACCACTTTTAGAAATATTTTTAAATAAATATAAAGGCTCATCAGACACCCTGACGTTAAGAGTCAATTGTTACTGATCCTCGTTTCTATTTAATAATATTATATTATTACTTAATGAGTTAATTGTTCGCTATCTTATGATTTCGGGGAAATTGATAGAAGAAAATTGGTCTTTATCGACATTGCTGTGACGCGTATTGTCCTGCGTGGATATTTCTGCCTGGTTTAGACCTTGAAGGGATGATTTATATACATCAAATACACCTAAGTCTCTACCGGACCCGTTGTGCGCTCCTTAACCATTGCATTAGGAGGGAATCGAACCCACCACCTCCGGTCTACCAGACTAGACCACTAACTACTTACCTACCTGAGGCGACAGTTCCACAACAAAGTAGTTCTATCTATACATTAGATTATATCTATAGTCTATGATTATATCTATATTCTATTTTGAGCTTGAATTGCATGATTATGTTCGGAACTGATTCTGTGGAAACTTTATACGATCCAGTTCTTAAATCAGTTATTTTTAATTTATCAATTTTAGAAACTTGCAAAGCTTTTGAGACAGTTCTAGAACAAGTTTTTTTTATGCAATTTTTGCTTGAAATTATAAGGTTTGAGAAAATCTGTGATAACTCTAGCTTAAAGATTCATTTTTAAGAATTGACGATGACAACTTAAAAGAAAACTCAGATTGTAACTTTCCATTAACCCTTTCACGCACAAAACTAAACCATTGGACTTTTTATGGATATGACTTCACCACACACTTTATTTAGACTTATATTGATCATTTTTGATGAAAAATTAAAAAAGTGTTTTCGAAGGATATCGCAGGATATTATCCTTTTTAGCATGTAGTGACATCAAATTCTAAAAAATAACTTATTTTTCTTTAGAAATAACCTTTATTATAGCTGAGAACTCAAAATTCCACTATTTTAAACTATTTTCACTTAAAGGCTTAAAAAGTAATCAATATATTTTCATGCGTACTCTATGTTTAAGGAGCAATCTTTTTACCAGTAACAAAATGAGACTTGATAAATATTATACAAAATAAGCAGATTATTTCATTAAAGAATTAGTTGGAGTAGAGGAAATTTTTAATATTATTACTCTGCATGAAAATTACTGAGAACATTATGTCTTAAAAAGAAAGCAATAATAATGACGTTATCCTAAAACGGCTATGTTGGCAATAAAGCATATTAGCATTCAAAGTAATGTTTTTTTATTAAAATCTTAAATAACCGAAGCATTGATTTGGTGCACAATTTTTTACATAGCAAAATCGTCTAAATTAATTCATGACGTTATTCCGTTAGTAAGTTAGTTAGTTAGTTAGTTAGTTAGTCAGTTAGTTAGTTAGTTAGTTAGTTAGTTAGTTAGTTAGTTAGTTAGTTAGTTAGTTAGTTAGTTAGTTAGTTAGTTAGTTAGTTAGTTAGTTAGTTAGTTAGTTAGTTAGTTAGTTAGTTAGTTAGTTAGTTAGTTAGTTAGTTAGTTAGTTAGTTAGTTAGTTAGTTAGTTAGTTAGTTAGTTAGTTAGTTAGTTAGTTAGTTAGTTAGTTAGTTAGTTAGTTAGTTAGTTAGTAGTTAGTTAGTTAGTAGTTAGTTAGTTAGTTAGTTAGTTAGTTAGTTAGTTAGTTAGTTAGTTAGTTAGTTAGTTAGTTAGTTAGTTAGTTAGTTAGTTAGTTAGTTAGTTAGTTAGTTAGTTAGTTAGTTAGTTAGTTAGTAGTTAGTTAGTTAGTTAGTTAGTTAGTTAGTTAGTTAGTTAGTTAGTTAGTTAGTTAGTTAGTTAGTTAGTTAGTTAGTTAGTTAGTTAGTTAGTTAGTTAGTTAGTTAGTTAGTTAGTTAGTTAGTTAGTTAGTTAGTTAGTTAGTTAGTTAGTTAGTTAGTTAGTTAGTTAGTTAGTTAGTTAGTTAGTTAGTTAGTTAGTTAGTTAGTTAGTAGTTAGTTAGTTAGTTAGTTAGTTAGTTAGTTAGTTAGTTAGTTAGTTAGTTAGTTAGTTAGTTAGTTAGTTAGTTAGTTAGTTAGTTAGTTAGTTAGTTAGTTAGTTAGTTAGTTAGTTAGTTAGTTAGTTAGTTAGTAGTTAGTTAGTTAGTTAGTTAGTTAGTAGTTAGTTAGTTAGTTAGTTAGTTAGTTAGTTAGTTAGTTAGTTAGTTAGTTAGTTAGTTAGTTAGTTAGTTAGTTAGTTAGTAGTTAGTTAGTTAGTTAGTTAGTTAGTTAGTTAGTTAGTTAGTTAGTTAGTTAGTTAGTAGTTAGTTAGTTAGTTAGTTAGTTAGTTAGTTAGTAGTTAGTTAGTAGTTAGTTAGTTAGTTAGTTAGTTAGTTAGTTAGTTAGTTAGTTAGTTAGTTAGTTAGTTAGTTAGTTAGTTAGTTAGTTAGTTAGTTAGTTAGTTAGTTAGTTAGTTAGTTAGTTAGTTAGTTAGTTAGTTAGTTAGTTAGTTAGTTAGTTAGTTAGTTAGTTAGTAGTTAGTTAGTTAGTTAGTTAGTTAGTTAGTTAGTTAGTTAGTTAGTTAGTTAGTTAGTTAGTTAGTTAGTTAGTTAGTTAGTTAGTAGTTAGTTAGTTAGTTAGTTAGTTAGTTAGTTAGTTAGTTAGTTAGTTAGTTAGTTAGTTAGTTAGTAGTTAGTTAGTTAGTTAGTTAGTTAGTTAGTTAGTTAGTAGTTAGTTAGTTAGTTAGTTAGTTAGTTAGTTAGTTAGTTAGTTAGTTAGTTAGTTAGTTAGTTAGTTAGTTAGTTAGTAGTTAGTTAGTTAGTTAGTTAGTTAGTTAGTTAGTTAGTTAGTTAGTTAGTTAGTTAGTTAGTTATCATCCGGTTCGTGTCTAATTTTGTGTCATACTTTGTGCAACAGATCTATCTATCCAAATGATCGGCTTTCGCACAAAATATAAATAATAAGAACACAAATATTTTTCTAAAAATGCAATAATAGATTGTATAAATTTTATTTAAACCGAAAATTTTTACTTTTGTAGCGTTAATATATATGTTTACAACTATATTTATTGAAGTTCATGATGTTTTTGGGTGTGATCTTAAGGAATTGAAAACTCAACTGATAACTTTCCTAAAGCACAACGTAGTTTATATAGAGAATTTTGTAATTCAGTAGTAACGAAAAATCGTGTTTGTTTTTGTAATATTATTATGAAATTTATATGTAATCGATCAAAATTTTAATAATTTAAAAAGCTTAAAAAGTAATTAACACTTTCTCATACTGTATGTTTAGTTTTTGGTTGTTCTAACTATGTATAAAATTGATGTATGACAGATTGCTTATATAAGTATCTTTAAGAAATATCCAGCAATAACTTTCATTACTATGTATTCGATACTTAAAAATGCAAAATAATGGTGAAATATGTGAAATTTTAAACCGTTTAACGGTTGTCATTGTAGGTAACTGTATACCACTTATCACAAGCACCTAGCCTATGCTTCCGCATACATCAATGCTAAAGAAGAAGAAGAAGAAAGGAATAAAATTGTAAATTTTCTTAAGGTTTTTTATATTTCAATATTTTTGGAAAAATTTAAATTATGTAATTTTAAATCACAAATAAATCTTTAATAAACCGATTATATTTTATTTAAAGAAGAAAATTATGGAAACTTTATGAAGTGGTTTCTCGTTCTATGGAACAGTTGTAAAATCAGGGGCCAAATTCTCGCATTCGAAAGCGACAGAAATTTCTAATAATTTAATTTTTCAATTAAAATATAATCGATTTATTGAAGAAAATTAATAGATTTATTTGTGATTTAAAATTAGATAATTCAAATTCTGTTAAGGTTTTGATGGCTTTCGAATGCAAGAATTTGCCCCCAGTACTTTATAAATCAATTTTGTTCAAATTTTGAACATTTCTGGATATAGATAGATTTTTTCCAGAAGTGTTGATATAGTTATTGTAGCGCTAATGATTGTCAAATAAGTGATTCCTAGAAAGCTTCTTAAAAGTACTTTGCATTCATAGATCTTCTTTCGAATGCTAGAATTTGCCCGTAGTTTTGATACTGTTATTGTAGCGCAAATGATTGTCATATAAGTGGTTCCTAGAAAACACCATAAAAGTACTTTGGATTCAAAGAACGTGCTGATGTTTGTAACACACAAAAATATTGGTTCTACACCCACCTTAAAGTATACCGATCGATTCAGAATCACTTTTTGAGTCGATTAGGACATGTCCATCCGTCCGTCCGTCTGTCCATGTAAACCTTGTGCGCAAGCTACAGGCCGCAAATTTCAATATAATTTGATGAAATTTAGAAAAAGCATGTTTTTTGGCACAAGGAAGCCTAAAATGGTTGAAATCGGTCTATTATTTCACCTAGCCCCCATACAACCGTACCTCCCGATTTGGGCTTTTTATGCCATAATTACGTCAAATATACTATTATCTCTCTAAAAATTGGCACAAATAAGTTTTATATAAGTATAAATGACACTGCAGATTTTCGTAATGATCGGCCCTTATTTGACCCTA